ATGTGTGTCTAGGGACCAGCACCAATGTGTACCCTGCACATGTGTGTTCACCTATATTAAGCCCATTCAGCAGAGATCATGTTATCTCAGGGGCTTAGGTTAAGTTCTAGGGACAGGTGATTAAATATGTTTGTTCTGTATCCCACTAGTTACCAGGAATGTGTATTATTTTGTAATTGCAATGTAGGTAGCTATCCTCATCATTTCTATCATTATAGCCTGTGGTATCCAAAGACTAGGGGAAAGGGTAGATGGCCCAGTTCCCCAAGAAAATGTCTCCAGAGTAAAGACCACTCTCCTAAAGCACTCCTGCTGGATTAAACCTAAGATCCCTCATCTGCAGCTCTGACTTTACTGATGCCAGCTCCAGTTTGGGTCCCTCTTGTCCTAGGAAGAAGCAATCAGGAAGATGTCCTAACTACCTGCAGTCCCTACAGGGTTAATGTCTGTAAGAGGAGACCCGCACCCTGGAATCGGGCTCCTAGGCATGGCAAATACCTAGCCTTCTTGGGTTTTCAACCACAAGGGGGAGCCCAAGAGCAATGATAGTAAGAATTGGGAGAATGAGTTCTCTGTTGTGGGCCTGTGCTCTATCTGAAGCAGCCAGTGGTTTCTTCATTTATCATCCCACTGCATGTGAATGTGGGCTATTAACTTTAGGAGGAAAATGTCTGGATTACATAGGCCAGAGTGAGCTCAAAAGAAATCAGAGAGTGGGTTCAATAAAATTAAGTAGTGGTGTGAGACCAAGTGCAAATCTCTGTGTGGGTAGAAAGAAGGGTAATGTATGGTGTGTCCCTGAAGGAGGATGTCAGAGAAAATGAACTTTTAATTTTGACAGTATTGGGTGTGAACTTAGGGCCTTGACCTAACAAGTGCCCTATTACTTGAGCCATGCCCTCAACCTGGAATAGGCTAAATAGCCTATAAGAAGAACTATCTATCCTAACAATCCCTGCCATCTAGAATCCTTTAGGAAGAGAAAGTCAAGCTCTCTCTTTCTCTCTTTCTCTCTCTCTCTCTCTCTCTCTCTGTAGGAGAAATATTGTTCATTGCTAGTTATAGCAGTGACACAGGGGGACAATTCCTATAGCAATTGTGGGCTTATACACCAAGAAGTCCCATTACCGAGGTATACATGGAGTAAGCTTGATCCTACCAGCTCTCACTGTTGGCTACTCTTACTAGATTTCAGGGAGAGGAGATGATTCAGTGCAAGCCATCGCCTCTGCTAGAGGAAAAGAATGACTTCTCCATCAGCCAGGACATAGGCAGGGAGGCTGCTGGGTCCTTGTGGAGGACAAGGAATTTCTGAGCAAACCTGCCAAGACTGAGTTGAGGCCAAGGCCTCATCTACCTACAAGACAAGGTCTTCTTAGAAATTACCTTCCAGGCTGATGTACAGTCCCTTGAAAGCAATCTGAGATATTTGGGATTAAATCTGGTGGATAAGATGGGTACTTAGTCCACGTTTCAACAAGGACCAGTTTAAATAGTGGAACACAGGAGATGGAAGATCATCTATATCAGTGGTTCTCAACATGTGGTCTGCAGACCAGTGGCAGCAACACCTGTGGATTTGTTGCTCTTTGGCTCTACCCCAGACATGCTGCATCAGAACTTTGGGTGGAGCCAAGCCTGCATATTAGTAAGCCCTTCTGGGGATTCTGACAGGTGTGTTTAAGTTTGAAAACTAATGCTTTCATGAAATCTCTCCAGCCTACCCCAAGCAGTTGGATGCCTAACCTCCAGATCCCTCTTTAATGCTTGCTAGTAACTGCTGTGTGAGCTTGAGAGACTATGGGCATATAAGAATGTGTTAGTATGAGTGTGTGTGTGTGTGTGTGTGTGTGTGTGTGTGTGTGTGTGTAGAAATGTGTGGGCTTCTAAGAATATGTGTATGTGAATTTGTTATGTGTATGAATGAGCATGTTATGTGTACTTTTGTGAGCTCAGGGCTGGGATGTGGCTACCTCATGACTTAAGAGGGTTAATCCTATGCTTTTGGGAGTCACAACCCCTAGAAAATCAGATGACTCTAGAAAATCTCCTCCAAATGTATTAGTTTGACTCCAAAATTAGTCTTTTGTTGTGATTTATTTAGATGAGTTTGAGAATGTTGGTTATCTTGCCTCTGACAGCAATATCCTATTTATATTCAAAAAAGTCATTTGTAATGCTGTTCATAAATAGGTACTCACTAAATATTGGTTAAATTGCTCAACAGTTTGTTTTCTTCAGTATAATCTGAAAGAATAAAACATGTCCACAGTAAATAAAATGTTAGTTTGCATGTGATTCAAGAGCCTTACTCTCTTGGTGAAGAACTTCTGATTGACAATTTTTTTTTCTCTAACATGATTTAATTTTCCATTTGAAACAAGAATAAATTTCCCGTGTAATTCAATGTGGACAGAAGGTGGCACTGGAGAGGTAGAATTGTAACGATTTGCAGGACCTCTGGAAGAGGGGGAGCAGCGGAGAGGGGTGCAGAAGAGTTTAGAGGTTCCTAATACATAGGAATAATAATATCTTAGGAGATGGAAATATTACCTACTCTGATCTGATTATTTTTAATTCTAAACATGTGTTGAATTATAATACTACCACCCACAAATAAGTTCATACTGTATACGCCAATTTTAAAAAGCCAAATGTTGAATCTCATATAAGAACAAAATTGGGAGCTGACAGCTTACACCTATAACAGGAGGCTGAAATACAAAGGATCAAGGTTGAACTCACCTCAGGCAGGGAAGGGACTCCATCTCCAAAGTCAGGACTATAGGCATGGCTCAACTGGTAGAGTGCCAGCTGAGCAAGCAAGTAAGCTGAGCAAGAACGAGGCCTCTGAATTCTAATGCCAGTACCACCAAAACCAAACCACCAACTTCTTGTCTTTTTTAATAGTAATAATTAATTACAATACCTATTATGACAATTTGGATCTAAAAATCAAATTGTGTTGTGTTCCTTGTCATAATTTAAATAATAAAAATATTAAAAATAAACAAAAACAAAACTCAAGAGGCCTGATTCTTCAGGGCTGGGTGTGGAGCTACATGCCTAGAAGTTCTGCTACTGGGGAGGCATGGATAGGAAGATGGGGAGAATAGAGGAGGACAAAAGTCAAACAAGAGGTCTGAGGCTGAGCCCCGATGAAGACCTTATCTGGGGGAAAATAGGAAAAAAAGACACTAGGGATAAAACAAGGGCTTAGGTAAATGCTAGAACACTTGCCTGGCAAGTGTGGGTGGTGAGTGAGAGAGCCCCATTACCAGCAGGGGAAAAAAAGTCTGACTCCTTGACCCCAGTATGCCCTCAAATTATTATCTACCACAATTCCTTCTATGACATCTCTTACACTATTGAGCCAAACAATAGTGTCCATCTAAATTGGGAATCTATGTTCTAGTGATAACGTTTTGCTATGATCTATATCAAGAAAAGCTAATATTCATTCATTATTCAACCATTCATTCATCTCAAGTCATTCACCTTCCTTTAAACTAATGTAAACTCAGGACCTATTATGATTTAGATGTTCATTAAAAACCTGGTCTTTTGGGTCCTGGAACTAAGGATTAAATAAAATGCAGTGCCCAATAGGAGGACACAATGTAGGGAGCAGAGAAGAGACTTGTGACAAGCTCATGACCCACAGCCTCAAATGTTTATTGTCAATAAGGCTACAGAAAGTGGAGAGGAGGAAGGCTGATGCCCACGAGGCTAAGGGAGGCATCCAGGGGAAGGGGAGCTCTCAGTCCCAAGGATAAGTCAGAGATAGAACAGGGTTAGGGTGGCCTAGAAGGCAGCGGGGAAAATAAGTGCTAAAGTCCAGGGGCATCATGAGGCAGCTGTAGGCAGAGACAGGTGGATTTCTAAATAGAAAGAGAGAGTGGAGACCACAAGAGGAGGCCTGTGAGAAGGGGCTGGAGGTGAAGAAGTCCAAGAGCTCAGGTCTGAATGCCGCAGGTGGAGAGAGGATGGGAGGGCCCAAGATTGAGACGCACTGGCCAGTGCCATGGCAAGTATTGCTGAGAGAGATGGAACTGGTGAAACGTGGGCACTGGCAGAATGGGTTCCAGGATGAGAGAGTTCAAGAGTGGCACCAGTTCTGGTTTGCTGGGGATGAGGTGGGAGGTCTGGGTTTGGGAATCAGTTGACTGAAGAAGAAAAGCAGTGTGCTGAAGATCACTTTGACCTCTGCCAGGCCCCTAATCACTCCACTTCACTGGGAATCCTGCTGGTGTCTGCCAGTCTTTGCAGTTCCCGAGGGTGGGGAGGGTAGCCTCTATCCCACTGGCCCTCACTTCCCACCCAAAGGGCTGGCTCTGACACTGAGACGGTCCAAAGGCCACCAAGCTCCTGAGAAGTAGACCAGCCTTAGCCTCTTCTTGCCGGCAAGAGCCCAGCTGTCAAGGAAGTCAGGCACAAGTAATACCCTCTAAATGAGGCACAATTAGACCAGGTTAGCCCACCCATCAGGGAAGAAGCACATTTCCCAAGACCCAGAACTATTGATCTACAATGATGTGTGTGTATGTGTGTGTGTGCAGCTTGAACTTAGGGCCTGGGCACTGTCCCTTAGTGTTTGTGCTCAAGGCTAATGCTCTACTGCTTCAATTACATCTCCACTTCAGACTTTTTGATGGTTAATTGGAGATAAGAGTCTCAGACTTTCCTGCCTAGGCTGGCTTTGAACCACAATCCTCAAATCTCATTATCCTGAATAAGATTATAGGCATGAGCTGCCAGTGCCTGGCTATTTGTGGTTTTTACAGGCCTTCACCATCCACAGAATCAGAAAGGGGAAACTTTGGTTACCTGGGGGCATAGGCAGGGCAGGAGAATTTTGAAGTGGAAGATGAGAATGGGGCCAGGAAGATCGAGACAGTCCTTGTGGGCTACCTAGGGGAAGGCAGTTAGGAGAAATCCTATGAGGAGTGGGGGTCTTGGAATTCAGCCTTAGTACTAGGAAAGTGGCTCAAGAGTCTTACCTTGACCTGGTCCAGCACCACCAGAGGCCCATTGACACTGCACACGGTCCTGTAGGCTGGAGGATTGGAACGGTAATGAGGGTCTCACCTATTACATACACCCCTCCCAGTTCTGACTCCAGAGCACATGTGCACGCGCACACATACACACACACACACACACACACACACACACACCAGAGAGAGAAAGAGAGAGAGAGAGAGGTATCCTCTGCCATTTGCCATTCCTCCCTCTACCCACCCCTACCTCCTCCCTAGTTTGGGCCATCAGGGTCATTAGCTGTGACAGGGCCAGTCACCATTGCTGTAAGGGTCATGCCCCTGCCTGCAGGGCCCCTGCTGCCTCTGGACACCTGCAGGAGGCTGGGGGAGGGTGGGCAAGGGCAGAGGCCTCCTCAGAGACCTCCCTAGCCCTGCTGAGGCCCTTTTCCTCTTCATGTGGTTTCCCCTTTGGCCTCAGCACATCCCCCACCCTCCACCCCACCAAGGCCTCTCTGACTTATATTTCCTAAAAGCTTGTTGGTTTCAGATGTGGCCAAGTCCCTCTTCTGCCCCTCTCCAGATCCTCCTTCCCCCCTGTGCACTCATCAGGTACCATAGGGGATGAATACACCAACAGGGCCTCTGTTGTCACCACCAGGCCCTGGTCAGGCAGTGGTGAGGAGGCTCCCAGACTCCCTGGCTCACTGGGTTTTCCCGGTAAGGAGAAGAGAAGGGAGGGAGTGAAAAGGAAGGAGGAAGAAATGTCCACAGATCCAGTGCCTGGAGAGATGCACAAATGAGAATGAGCTCAGCTTACAGTGTTGGATTAGCTTAGATATCAAGAAACATTGCTCTGTGAGAGGCAGCCATAGGTTGGCAGCCAAGAAGCCTAGCTCTGGTTCTGCCAGGGACTAGCTGAGAGAATTGGCATGGCCCTTAGCCTGTAGCATTGGGATCCCCTAGTCTTTCCCTGGGGGTTTGTAGCTTACCAACAATACAACTAAGACAATGGAATTTACAAAGGGGAGATGGGCAGGGTACTGGGAGGAGCTGGGTCCTTCTACAGATGTAACACCACAGAAGGAAGGGAAGGAAAATGAGCACTAGCCTGGCCCAGGGTCAGCTTATGGTAGAGATGGAGCTGGGTCCCCATCTTGGCTTCCCATGAGCCCATACTGGTTCAATAGCTCTCTCATTCTTCTGCTTCTGAGCATACCTGGCCCCAAGCCACTCTGTCCCAACAGGAACTCACACCCTTCTTGGCCAGGACCTCTGCAGCCCAACCCCTTACTTTTGTCTGATCTAAGCTTCTTTTACAGGATGTGGAACATGAAGCCAGACTAGGAAAGATGACCCCTGCACAGAGCTTTATGAGGACTGACAAGTGTGAGGACTGTTTGCAAAATTCAGGGCCCAAGGAGAGCATGGGGAGATGTTCCTTGCCTGAGTATCTCACTACAGACCCAGTACTCACAGCCTCCCTCTCCCCTTCCTCTGGATTCCCAGGGAGGCGGCCCCACCTTTGTCTTAGGCAAGTCCGTCCCCTGCATCAAAGTCTTTCCCACTCAGGGTTCTTATATCCCTTATCCTCCAAAACCTCTTAGCTGGCTTTAGAGACCAGACCTTTTGGCTGGTCTCTAACAATTTTCTTCTCTTCCCCACCTCCTACCCTAGTCTCAACCCCTTCCACTCTTGGCTTCCAAGGCCTGCTTTCTTTCTAGGCCACCATTGTCAGCCAATGGATTCATCCAAGGTGGCCCTGACATGCCACTTGAGGCTGGGTGCATTTTTCTCTTCTGGGGAGGCCTCTCTCCTCCTCAGGCTCCATGGAAGACACCCCCCCTCCATATCCCTCTGTAACATCCTACAGTTTCTATTTTCTCACTTCTCTTTCCCTCCTGGGATCTGCTTTCCTTCTTCCCTCCTCCTCTCTTCCTGTCTTCAGGCACTTTGCTCAAATCTATTGCATGAAATAAAAGTGATAAATCGAATTTGGAGCTTTCAATCTGAAAAAAATAGCAGAAGGTGCTAAGAAGAGAAAGAACAGGAAGACTGAGAGATGGGCCTGGGACAAGACTAGGTGCTCCAGAAAGAAACTTGGAGGGAAAGGCCATTCTAGAGCTCCCTGCTTCAGGAGAGTTCTCCATGCAGAGCGAGGGTGCTGGGGTCAGGGGACAGGAAACAGAGAGAGCAGCTCAGAGGTGAAAGGACCTCTCATTTGGTGCACGGCCTATGACACACACAGGCTGGCTTCAGTGCTGGAAGACGTCAAGAGATCTGCTGTGGAGCTTACCGTCATACCTGCCTCCCAGAACACAGCACCAGCTGTGTTCTGTGGAAAGCATTCAAGAAACACTTGTGGGAAGACTTACGGAAGGCATTGGCTGATTCCCTCTGTTAACTTCACTAAATCCCATCAGAATCCGTGGCCCCCTCCTTCCTGGCCCCCAAACCAAATGAGGATCCCGTTGGCCAGCCTAGGGAGCCACACTGCTAGTTCTTGCCTACTCTGTGACAGAGAGGTGGGAGAGATGAAGATCATGCATAGTGCTAGGGGAGGTGGCAGGCCCTGGTAGACCTCCGGTGTGGCGGCGTGGCTGACAGAGACTGGGCATCCCCAAGTCTCAAGGTGGGGAGGGGGGAATCACCAGGCTCCATCTATTCCCTCCTGCCTACATACATGGTATTTTGATCAAATTGCCTGGATTTTGAAGATTCTGCAGGTGAGCCTGGCACAGAGAGAATCAGAAGCAGGATTAGGTTAGCACAGGAGAGACCTGCATGTTTTAAAGCATCACAAAGAGCTGGTATTTTGCAGGCCTCATGGAGAAAACTCCAGCCAGAGGAGAAGAAAGGGGAGGTGGAGGAAGAAAGCAGTGAACCTGGGTAAAAAGACACAGGGTGGGTGGGCCAAAGTGAGGGCCCTGTGGGAGGGGAAGGGGCCCCAGGAAATCACTTCCAATTTCACCGCCAAGGGAGACAGGTCTTTCAACTTTCCCCCTTCACTCATGGCTGCACCTCTACTTCCCAGCCTTTGTCACATGAAATCCCAGTTCACCCAGAGCCCAGCAAGTCTCCCCAGAGGGAGGACAAGGGAGGAGGTGGTGGAGGTTATGGGATTAAAGGATCCACACCCTTTCCTCAGGAGGAAAAGGAGCTGCTCTTTCCTGCAGGAGCCCAAGGGCTGCTGACTGGTGCCTGTGGCCAGGCTCTGCTAAACGCAAGTTAGGATGGGAGGTCGATGCTTCCACCAGCCCAGATCACACAGTGGCCAGCAGGAGGCGCTCTTGTGTGAGCTGCTTTCCCCAGCTTCAGCTGCCCAGTGCCCAGCTCTAGTGAGGACTCAGAGTGGCTGGAAGAGGCCATTGCTCCACAGTCTGGAGCCTTCATTGCAGAAATGCCCCTGTTGGGCTCAGCACTGGACTGTTCACATACATAAGGCCTCATCCCAAACTGTCTCTTGCAGCCTCTCTTCCCTATCCTCTCTCCTAAGACTCCTTAGCACCACAGACTGGTACCCTAGAGGAACAGACACAGTCAGCTAATTGACACAGGTTGATTATTTATCCAACCTAGCTAGACACAGATAGTTCTATTGGTTGTAGAACTCTGACCTGGTGTGTCCATTGCATGGAGAGGCAAACTGAAGCTCCAAAACTTGGCTGATTTCTCCTATGTAATTCAGGGCAGTATCTTGTGGTCTTAAGGAACGATGGTCACTGCCCAGCCCCCAGGATGTCCCCCTTGACCCTAGAGAGGGAAGGGAGGGTGCGGAGCTGTCTGCAGAGAGTTGGGCAAATGACCTGAAGGGCACTCCCTCAATGGGCTTTCTCCAGACTTAGCAGACACTCCTCCCAGCTGCTCTGTCCACCCCCTCTCCATTGTCCTAGCTGACACTTTGGGTTGTGCTTTGGGCTGCTGGCTGGCGAAGCCCTCCCTACCCCCACCTCCGGGCCGCCTTCCCTGTCAAAGACCCAGCAGGGCTCCAGCAAGGCCCACTAATTAGCGCTGGCCCAGCCACACCTGCAGCGTCTGGGAGCAGGCGCCCCTGCGTGAGGCCAGGGTGGGGGTGAGCTGGGGGCAGCAGGTCCTCAACCTCCTCTCAGCTGGAAGGATTAGGGGAAGGAGGGCAGGCACTGGAAGCTGGGGGTCTTCGAATCAGCCCATGATTCTGCTGATGGGGACTGTCCTGGAGCTTCCTCTCCTTTCAGTTTAGGCAACTGGCAGGACAGCAAAGCCAGTGGCATGGGATCCAGCCCCTAGAAAATCTGCCTTGGCTCCCTGCTTCCAACCAGGCTGCCAGTTTCCTCATCTCCCTCAGTCCAGCAACCTTGCTCCAGCCATGAAATGAGGCTCCAAGCACCTTCTCCCAATTGGGCCAATCCCCGGAGGGAACCTCATGGGAACAAAGGGAACCTTTCTTTTCCAGGATGGCTATTTATTGAGCCATCCTCCATTTTAATTCTGTGCTGCTCCTCCTTTCTGGCCACTCCTCTCTCTCAGCCACAGGGGTGACATGGTTCTTCCAGCCTCTGTTAAGATGAGTCCACCTTCTCTGGGAGTAACAGAGTTCTCAAGCTGCTCAGGGCTCACTTCCACCCAAACTAGCCTGGGGCCCTGGGCCCACTGATCCCTCAGCAGGCCTCCTGGGTTCGGTCTCTGGATTTCTCAGCCTCGGGGAGTGTTTAAGACTCCCAGGATGGCAGAGAATATAAGGCAAGAGATCAGAAAGGGACATTAGTCTCCTTTTATGCTGAAGAGTGTAAAATAGTTCTTGGGGAGAGGAGGGTGGGGGGCTCCAGACCCAACCTGGTTCCATGCCTGTCCCACAATTACCTGAGTTGGACAGAGAAGAAGTTACGTGGGGAAGCCAAGGGTAGGTATCCCCAAGGGCTGTGGGGATACTAAGCAAGGGAAGGGCACCGGAGGGGGCAGAGTGTGAAGTCTCGCCCCCTGACCTTTGCTCTGTGGAGGGTACACTCATTGGCCGGGATGGGGACCACATGGAGCCATCACTTGAAGCCTCCATACAAGAGGCCTGCAAATGAGAGGGTTGGGGCCACTCAAACCCCTGCCCTCCGGGCTCCCCCCACCAGTTCCAGCTGGGGTCAGCATCCAGGGAGTTGACTGTAAATAGGAAGCTGGATGGGAAGAACTGGCTGGAGGCTGCTCCTGGCCTGAGCACTCTGCCTGGAGGAAGAGGTGGGCCAGTGAGGTGGTGTAGGCTGGATCCCAGCTAGGGTACATTCCAGAAGAAGGAAGGCAGAACCTGTAGGTCCAGACCACTGCCCCTCCCACCCTATGCCACTCTCCCATGCCCACGGGTGCAACAGCTGGCCTGAAGGGTCAGTTATCATAGGGGTCAGCCTCCCAGCTCCCACTCCAGGCCTGAGCTCTGGATACAATAGGGTCTCCCCAACTCCGTGAGTACTTATTACTGGGACTTGATGACCCCAGAATATTCTTGGTGGGGTGTCCAGACCTCTCCCCCCCCACCCCCGCTGTACAAAATAGGGCCTGTGGCCTGGGTTTCCTTGAAAAACCCAGTCCAACCTTCCCCAATTCCCTCCCCCACACCCCCACACCCGTCTCATTTTTCTCTACTGGAATTTGCTCTGCCTTCCTGTGCCTGTCTCAGTTTCAGCAGAGCTGCACGCACACCCATGTCTTTCCTTCCTTCTGCTTGGGCCAGCTTGCTGGGTGCTCTGTGTTCCCCTCAATGTTCACCCCCCTCTATGGGAGGCAGGAAATAGGAGTGGCTATGTCAGATCCACCCCCTCTCACCCCCAAACCCCATTAGGAGCCTCTGGCTCTGCTTAGCAAGGGCTGGTCGGGCTGGTTTACTCCAGTGAACTGGGCCATCAGAATTAACCAGGCCAGAGTGACCTTGATCAAGGAGACACAGAGGGATACTTCCCCTCCCTTTAGTCTTCTAGACATTGGCATGATTTCTTGGTCTCTGCCCCCAAACATCTGGCCTTGGACCACCCCTGCAGAACAAGTGCAGAAGCAACACACAGGGGGTGCATATAGGTGTACCTACACATTACATTGTAAACATATAGGTGCTCCGACACTTACATACACATACTCTTATCCCAATTTTACACACACCCATACAAGCACCCACATGCACACACATACACACTGCTTAGACATGCAATATTGTCTGACCAGTAGCTCAAATGGACTCCCCTTGAATACACACACACCCAAGCACACTGGACATCCCCCCCCCCCGCTTCACCCTTTGTATATATACTTCCTCTCCCCAAGGGCAGTGCCTGTACCCACTGCTGCCCACAGACATCCTTTCTGTCCTCACATATCACCGGCAGCCATTGGCACACAGGGCACCAAGAACATGCCAAGAACACTCATGTGTTCTTCACTGTCCCACACAGCACCACATTTGATCAGATTCTTCCTCATGTTACGTGTTCTGGTGCATATTCCTCTCACATACGGACACACACACTCATGCACACTCAGAGCATGCACACATACACTCTTTCACTCTATGGAAGTTCATTGAAGCTTTCTCAGCCCAGGCTGAGAGCTCCATCCTTCCAGCTGCTAGGGTGGCTATTGTACAGGTGGTCCCAGAGCCCTCTGGTCACCTCAGGTCTCCTTTTTTTCCTGGGGCAAGAAGTGTGAGTCCCAGCCTCCCACCCCAAGCTCACGGCTGGTCTCTCATACTCACTGATGCGGGGGTGGGTGATGTAGTTGCGAGTGACGGCTTGCGTATGCTCTCGAGCCATGCCTACGTCACAGCTACTGCCAGGGAGGCCCCCTGGCCTGCTGTCTACCTTCGTGGCCATGGCAAGCAGTAGTCTGAGACTCAGTGCCTGGTGCCCAAGCAAGCTGGTGGCAGTTATAGGACTTGAGGCCCAGCTGCAGCTGGGGCGGGCTGCCCAGCCTGTGTGCCTGTGGCCACCCCTCCCCTTTCTTCCTTCTCCTCCCTTTCCCTCTGCACTCCTCCCCTAGGTTGACTGTAAACAGGGAAGCCCAGGGCTGTGTGCCAGCTCCAAAGCTTTCTCCACATACAAGCTGGGCAGACTGGAGGTAGCCGGTCATCAGGCAACTAGAGGCTGGCAAGGAGAAGAGCAGGGGGTGGGTGGGGGGAATGTAACTTTCTAACCTTTATGCCTGGCTGCCCTGCAGCCCACAACTCCCTCCAGCTCCTCCCCCTTCTCTCCTCAGTGTCCTTCCAACCCGTCCTTCCTCTGCACCCCTTTGCCTGCCAATACCTGGCTATTCCTTATTCCATTGTCATCTGTGAAGCATCCTCCGGTCAACTTCTCTATCACCATCATCTCCTACAGGAAGTCTTCCCTGGATCCTCCTCTAGCCTTGAGTCAGGATTCACCATGCACCTGACTCCATAGGGCAGGTGGCTGTGCCATCCCTCCCCCTCCCCCCCCATGAAACCTGTGTCTCTCCTATCACCCTGGGTCTCCTTAAGCCTTTGTGCCTTGTGTGAGTGAGAACTTTCTGAGAAGTAGGCCTAGTTTCTCTATCTGAATCCAGTCAATGAAAATTTCCAGTTTCTCTCCCTCCCTCCCGCCATCCCTCTCTCTCTGGACCCTGAATTACTTTTTAAAAAATCTGCAGGGTCCCCTACAAGCACCTGACATTCTCATCCCTGTATCATGTATCTAAATATTCTGAGTTACTGATCAAGCTATGTCTGTGCCTGAAGCCTGGACCTCACCATGGCTTCCCAGAACCCTCTTTATGCTGGGCAGCTAAAGTGGGATGCTTTCATCAGGGCTAGTGGAGCATAACACAGGTGTGGCAAGCAAGGCAGAGTGGAGGCTGAGATGGCTGGACAAATTCCACAGCCACCCTGTGCCTCGCCTACACTCGAGACCCCTGCATTTCTAAGCCACCGTGCAGAGGGTTGGGTGCAGCGCGATGATGGAGGAATCACTATTCCCTACATTTCCATTCTGAGTGACCCAGAGGGGGTGGCCAATCTGAAACCCAGTTGTCAGCTGTGTATTCCCAGAGCACATTGGAGCTGTCGGCAGTGCTTGTCTTTTCCATCACAGTCCCAGCTTCATCTGGATTCTCCAGCTGAGGATCCATTCTAGGTTTTGGATTTAGGTCCAAGACGTCTCCTGGTGATGACTGGGAGTGTTGGCTCAGCCTGTAATCCCCAGGAAGCAAAGATTGGGAGGGTTGAGGATTGAGGCCAGCCTGGGCAAAATAAAAGAAAAAAAAAAGGGAGACCCTATCCAGAAAAATAACTAAACCAAGAGGTCAGGGGTGTGGCTTAAGAAGTAAAGTGCCCACTTAACAAGGCAGAGGCTCCGACTTCAATCTCCTGTACCACCACCGCCACCAAAAAAAAAAAAAAAAAAGGCAGGGCAGGAGTTAGATGTGAAGGGATACCACTAGGGTGGTATTTCTTTCTTTTTTTTTTTTTGGTCCGGTTGTGGGGCCTGAACTCTGGGCCTGGGCGCTGTCCCTCAGCTCTTCAGCTCAAGGCTAGTGCTCTACCACTTGAACCACAGCACCACTTCCAGCTTTTTTTCTGCTTATGTGGTGCTGAGGAATCGAACCCAGAGCCTCATGCATGCAAGGCAAGTGCTCTACCATTGAGCCAACTTCCCAGCCCCATTAGGGTGGTATTTCTGTTGAAGCAAAAATTCTACATCTTGGTCGGCACTGGTGGCTCACCCCTGTTATACTAGCTACTCAGAAGATTGAGACCCAGGCTTCAAGCCAGCCTAGGCAGGAAAGTCCATGAGACTCTTATTTCCAATTAATCATCCAAAAAAGCCATAAGTAGAGCTGTGGCTCAATGGGGTAGAGCTCTAGCCTTGAGCAAAAAACAGTCAGGGACAGTTCCAGGTTTGGCACAGGAATAAAAAAAAGTCCTGCATCCTGAGTACATGATGATTCCATAAATCAACACAAGTGACAAAACAAATGGAACTATGTACTATGCAAAGATCTGTTTCCTGGTTTGATTTTAAGCTCTTTATGGAGTTGCAGCCATTGGGAGAAATTGAGTGAATCTTTGCAACTTCCTGTACATCTATACAATAAAAGTTAAATGAGGGCTGGGAAGGTGGCTCAGTGGTAAAGTACTTGCCTTGCATACATGAGGCCCTGGGTTTGATTTTTCAGCACCACATAAACAGAAAAAGCTGGAAGTGGTGCTATGGCTCAAGTGGTAGAGTGCTAGCCTTGAGCTGAAGAGCTGAGGGACAGTGCCCAGGCCCAGAGTTCTAGCTCCATGACCAACCCCCCCAAAAAAAGTTAAATGAAAGTGTCTTGAGCCCCCTAAAATTTTTTTTGAGTACTGGTGTGGCAGTGTTGGCAATGGGCAAATACTAGAGCCTGGGTTTGTTTCTCTTTTGGATGTCTTCTCTCCCACTCTAGAATCTGGTCTCATCCTGCATTGTCCACCCTCTTGAAAGATTAAATGCTCCTTTCCCCATTAGGAATTTTTTTGTCAGTTTTGGGGCTTTAATTCTGGGCCTAGGCACTGTCCCTCAGCTCTTCAGCTCAAGGTGAGCATTCTACCACTTTAGCCACAACACCACTTTCAGTTTGCTGGTGGTTAATTGGAGATAAGAGTCTCATAGACTTCCCTGCCAGGGCTGGCTTTGAACGGTGATTCTGAGTAGCTAAGATTACAGGCGTGAGCCATCGGTGCCCAGCTTAAGTATTTTTGTTTGTTTTGTGCTGGTACTGGGGCTTGAACTCAGGTTCTGGGCAGTCAGTGTCCCTTAGCTTGTTTTTGCTCAAGGATGAAGCTCTACTACTTGAACTACACCAGAAGAGTCTCAGACTTTTCTGCCTGGGCGGGCTTCAAACCTAGATCCTCCTCAGGATTACAAATGTGAGCTACTAGTGCCTAGCTTCCTTCCTTTTCTTTCTTTCTCTTTCTTCCTTTTCTTTCTTTCTCTTTCTTCCTTCCTTTTTCTCTCTTTCCTGCCTTCCTTCCCTCCCTTCTCTCTCCCACCCTCCCTCCTTCCCACCCTCCTTCCTTCCCTCCCTTCTTCCTTCCTCCCTTTCTTTCTTTCTTCCTTCCTTTCTCTTCTTTCTCTTTCTCTTTCTTTCCTGCCTTCCTTCCCTCCCTCCCTTCTTCCTCCCTCCCTCCTCCCCCTCTCTTTCTTTCTTTCTTCCTTTCTTTTTCACCAGTCCTGGTACTTGAACTCAGGGCCTGGACACTGTCCCTGAGCTTCTTTTGCTCAAGGCTAGCACTCTACCACTTGAGTCACAGAGCCACTTCAGGCTTCTTCTGTTTCTGTGATAGTGAGGAATCAAACCCAGGGCTTCATGCATGCTACCAAGCACTCCACCAAGCCACATTTTCTGTTGTTGTTGGTCATGGGGCTTGAACTCAGGGCCTGGTACTCTCCCTGAACTTTTTTTCTCAAGAATAGGGCTCTACCACTTTGAGCCACAGCTCCACTTCAAGATTTTTGTGGGTAAATTGGAGATAAGAGTCTTGGATAGCTTCTTTTTTTCTTTCCTTCTTTTTTTCTTTCCTTCTTTCTCTCTCCTTTCCTCCCTCCCTTTCTTTCCTTTCTTCCTTTCCTTTCTTTTCTCTCTTGCCTCTTTCTTTTTCTTTCCTTCTTTCTTTCTCTTATTCTTTCTTTCTTTCTTCAATTGGTTGTGGGCTTGAACTCAGGGCCTGAATGCTGTAACTGATCTCTTTTACTCAAGGCTAGCACTCTGCCACTTTGAGCCACAGGTTCACTTCTGGTTTTCTGATGGGCAACTGGATATGAGAGTCTCACAGACTTTCCTGCCCAGGCTGGTTTTGAACTGCAGTGCTCAGATCTCAGCCTCCTGAGTAGTTAGGATTACAGGTGTGAGCCACCAGTGCCCAACATATTTTTTAAGTTTTTGAAAGAGAAGCTTGTCTAGGGTAATGGTTAACCAAAGACAGCAGTGTTGCATTGTGGTGGCAATGGGGGTGCTGAGGTGCATGCTCCATTGGGAGTAGGAGTTAGGAGCCTGTGGATTCACACCTGAATGTCTCACCCAGCTTGAATCCCACATTCCAATCCCCCCTCTCATTTGAGTCCCTTGATTTAGCCTATTTTTCCTTCGCAGTGAGGGCAGAAATTGAACAAAGTTAGATGGTGCTGTGGGGACTGGTTCCTTTCTTTTCATAGTTTTCCTTTATTTCAGTGAGAGACACCCATGCATACTGCATTTACACGCATACACACACACATAAACACACACACTTGTGCACACACACGCGCACGCGCGCACACACACACACGCACACAAACACACTCTGCGGGGACCAAGGCCATTTGGTCAAGTCTCTGAGCTGGGGGCAGATGAGGAGGGCATGTGGTTTGCCATCCCTCCTCTTCAGGCCTGCTCAGTGCAGTTGGCTGGGACTGGGAGGCTGGGCAGTGCTGTGCTGGGGATTGGAGTGTCCAGAGTGTCACACACATACACACACACACACACACACACATATGTGGGAGTCTTAAGTGTTAGCTTTCTTGCTGCTACATCCAGGGCTGCCTCCTTTGCGGTCTAGTTTACTGTAGGGCTCGAAGGCAGAGGATCCCAGTTCATAACCAGCAGGCAGGTCCAGCAGTGGGGCCGTGGCAAAACAGACGGCTGGCAGAGGGGGTGGCAGTGGAGGGGATCCTGAGGCTGAGGGCAGCGGGTTGAGGCGAGGGGAGGAGTTCCTGGGGTCACCCAAGGAGGTGGTCCTGTGGACAGCAGACAGGCCAGGCAGGCCGGGGGTCAGTGCCAGGAGGCTGGGGGCCCTGGGAACAGACAGCAGCCGGCCTTGCTCCAAAAGCCGCAGAATGTTGGAGGTGGCGAAGGCCTCGGAGGCAGAGGACGATGCCC